CATCTTTGTACATTATTTTTAGGGTGCCAATTCCCAGAAGTGGCACTAATGGTACCTAAGTTCCTCCTACTCACTGCCTAACTGCTTTCCAGTAATAATTAGTATTATTGACTGAATACTTAAAATATGCTGTGAACTATGTTAAGTGATTTCCACGTATCAATATATATACTTCACATAAACTTATGAGGTAGTTATTATTGTTTATTTCCACTATATACGTGGAAACTGAGGCACAAAGAAGTTAAGTAACTTGCCCAAGGACATAGGGCTACCAGGCTGTGAAGTCAAGATTATAGAACTCAGGAAATCTGGCCCCAGAGCCCACATTCTTCACCCCTAAATTTGCTACATGACAAAAAGTTGTACCAATTTATACTGGCACCATTAGTAAGTACAGTTGTCATACTATGTGTAAAAACGTCTATTTTAAAATTCATACATTCATACAGATTCAAAACTTGCCTTTCTCACCTTAAAGTTAATATGGGGAGTTGAAGTAGAGGCCTAATTATTCTCTAGCACCTTCTCCTCATTCACACAGTGGAACATGTGGTGTGGGAGTTCAGGTGTAGGCTTAAGAGCTGTTTCAGCATGGAGTGGACATAATAGGACACTTTGTGTCTATAAGCTTGGATTTTGAAAATTCATCTTCCCATTCTTTTTTTTTTTGAGTCGGGTATTACTCTGTTACCCAGGCTGAAGTGCAGTGGCATGATCATAAAGATCACAGCTCATGGCAGCCTTGACGACCTGAGCACAGAGGATCCTTCCACCTCAGCATCCCGAGTAGCTGGGACTACAGGCATGCGCCACTACACTCGGTTAATTTAAAAAATTTTTTTGGTAGAGATGAAGTCTCTCTGCATTGTGCAGCCTGGTCTTGAACTCCTGGGCTCAAGCAATCCTCCTGCCTCAGCCTCCCAAAGTGCTGGGATTACAGCTGTGAGTCACTGTGCCTGGCCTCCAATTCTTATTTCTACAAAATTGCAAAATAATAACAGGTGCCATTTAGTGAGCACGTATTATGTACTCTGTAGGCATTGAGTTATTTGATCATCAGATGGGTATCATTACCCCATTTTGCAACAAGCTAGGGAACTGCACTCACAGTTAACCTGCATAATGATGCATGTCAGACAAATTAGACATTAAACTTCCAGGACTGATGACTTGGCCCTGGGTCTTTAGTTAACTTAAATGAATGTGACAGTGTTGCCATACAGTGGTAATACCTAATGAACTCCTTGTTCCCCTAACAAATAAAAAATAAATAAGTGACTTTACAAAGCTGACCCAGGCTAAAAGTCAACGACAATAGACATTTTTAAAGATGCTCATTCTGGGATTTTAATTTAAATTCAGTTTAGAGTCAGTGGGGGTCGTGGACCTCCGGCCAGTACCAATTACAGAGTTGGTGAGGTACAATGTGAAAGAGGTGATAGTAACCCCTGTCAGATTGCTACCCACCCAGAGGGGTTAGGCCACACAGTGCCAGGTATCTGCAGAAGGATGGCCAAGACAATCTGCGGGCTCCTTTAATTGCAAATTTACTTTTCCCTGTGGCTCCTTCACTAACTTCTTAGTGTCAAAATGTTGTCATCTATGGATTAGACTCAAAGAACATCAAGTGTGGTAGAAAGGGTTAATCGGGCAAAAAAAAAGGTGATTATATCAGTTGAAAAAGTTTTAAAGACCATTTGATGTTTTAGGAAAGATCCTATAAAGAGGAATTAAAGACTGATTTCAGAATAAACGATTCATTTTCTAACAAGATTGGATTTGTCCATTGGATGGCTGGCACTGCTTCAGTTACAAGGAAGAAACATGCAGGACACTTATTCTGAAATAACCTCACCAGTTGACGATCTTATTCTTTCATTGTTGTTAAAAATCAGATTGTCTTGGGACAGTCCTTTACACATTTAAAAAAAAATGTATTTAGAAAATACATTTGATCCTGTTACTCAAAATTCTTACACAAGAAGACTGCTGGTATCCGACTAGATTAAGGCTGTGAAAACCCATGGAGGGAAGCTGGCATTCTCTATAAGCACACAGCTGGGGTGGCCCCTCGGCAGCTGTCCTAGTGGGCAGCCCAGGTGGAGAGCAAGTGCACCCCGGATGAGTACAGGGCGAAGCTGGGATGACAGCAGATGTGACTTAAGTTCAGGCTGAATCCTCTTTGGGGTACAATTGATCTTTCTTCACAAAGCTGTCCCTCCTTCTTGGAACCACACAAAAATAGCTTATGGAGCTACTAGAAAACTTAGGTGACCTAAAGTTACCCAATTCTTTGCTCACAGTACAAATTTCTGCCCTAGTCTCATTTTCAAAGTAGATACAGGCATTTTATTTCTCAGTTCCATAGGGCTGCCTGCAATCAAAGCTGGTAATGCATCCTGACTACCTTAATACCATACTGGGAAATCTGCTCAAATGGGAGAGGCCGACAAATAACATTAGACACTATCAACAAGGCCCTTGGACATCACAAACACATTTTACAGAGCAAATTGACTCCCTGGACTTTCTGGAAACAGGACAGGGGTTCCCATCCAAACGCAGAGTGACCTGAGACCCTCCCCATCTCTTGGCTCCACAAAGAGGACTATTCCAGAATCAGGGAACATTTCAGAGCCAGCCACAGAGCACTGGCTTTGGTGTCAGCTCTGGATGCAAGACTTGGCTATGCACTTAGAACTGTGTGGATCTGAGATAAATTTCTTCACCTTTGAATCGGGGATCAGGATGGTCTGACCTGAATGTTGTGAGAAAGAGAGAGACCATCTGTAAAGTGCTTAACTTGCTACGTGTGTGTTAGCAAGCACACAGTGAACAGAGGGATCATTGTCATGTCATACCTGACCCCATGTGAGACCACAGCAGCCTCCATGTTGATGTTTACTCCGGTTCCAGGTTGTCAACTATAATCCAGGGATGTGAAGATCCTTCCGAACTCTAGGCCCAAGAGTGCCTGATTGCCAGCAGTTGCAGCTCCTTGGTGAAGACTGAGCATGAATTCTGAATTCAGACCTGAATGGGAGTCACGTCCCCCTTCACCAATTACTGTCTTAGGAGAACATGGCCAATTTCACCTCTGAACCTGCTCTCTTGTTTCTACCAAGAGGATAATACCTAACTGAGGGGGTGAAAGGATTAAGTGAGATAACATACAAGTCAAGCACTTAATACTGTAGTTGGCATGTGACAGGAGCTCAATCCATATCTATTGGATCCAATTCAAAAAGCACTAGGTAACTGCAGTCTTTCTGGTGTATAAAAACTAGCAAGTAAGTAAAAACTGGAACCAAAAGATAAGCTTTGAGATCAGACTGTCTTCAAACAGACACGGAAGAATATATACATTCTGCCTTCCGTAAGGTAAACACATCAACAAGATTACTGAGCAGGAGAGGGGCTCACAATTCCTCTGTCTATTCACAGTTCTCACCTGATTCATGAGATTTGCACCAGGCAAGGTGCACACTGTTTAAAATCAGTAATTTTTATACTAAATTAGTTTTCTCTAGTAAGAAAGGTAGAAAGAACCAACTTTTTGACGGCCTATAGATTATCACATGCTGTGTGTTCTATTATCCCCTTTTCTACAAGTTGGGAAAACAGGACTAGGACAAAAATCAAGCAGGGAAGGGAAGCAGTGTCAGAGGAAGAAAGTGAATGCGGGTTTGTCTGAGTGAGGCGGCCTCTTCGGCCCATTGTTTGCACTGACCTTTCAGTTTCTCAGGTGTATTCAAGAGCGTGATCTCTAAAAAAGGTTCTCGGGGAGCCATTGTTGGACTAATAAGGACCACTCAGTGCTATTCGAAGTGATTAAGATTTTTAATCCGTTATGAGGAGTTGAGAATTTGGTTATCATCTCGCGTTTCCAGCGGTGATTAAAACGCGATGGCCCCTTCAGGTACAGTGACTGCAAAGTCTCCCTGCTCGAAACGCTCCAGGTGGATTAATTTCTGAAGTATGATTCACCTTCCCTTTCCTGTTTTGATGAACAGGAGCCTGAACCATCCCTATCAATAAAAAGCTCGAGTTTTCCACCCTGCAAATTCGCGCTATAATGACAGTCTAATGGGCTGGCGCGCAGGTGGGATTTCCTGTCGCCATTTTAAGGAGACACAACTCCTCTGCAAGGAAGTGCCCAGTCGGTTCAAAGCGGCCGTGTCTGAAACAAAGAGTAAGCAGAAGAAAGGGGGGAAGGGACCCGGCTGCCCCTGCTCCCCTCTGTCCTGCTTCCTCGCCCCCCAGACTTGTGGTGCCCCAGCTCTGTTAACCCCATGCGCCAGGTCCTTCGGCGGAACCACGTGGGGTCTCTAGGCCCCGGCAGAGCTGGCTCCGGGCTCTTCGCGCCTAGGTAGGTGCGCGCCCGGGGCTCAGCAAATCCTCCTGGTCGCGTCACACCCAGTCCCCCAAACAGAGCTCCGCACGGCAGAGCTCTGGAAGGGCAGGCGAGGTCTGCGGGTGCTGGATCCGGAAGAGGGGAGGCGCCTCCCGTCACGGGTTAGGGACAAAGGGTTTCCAAAGGCGCCCGCGCGCCTCGATCCTCCTACCTCCTCCGCCCCCTTCCCGCTAACGCGGGCCGTCTGCCCGCGGTCGCCCGAGCCAACCCACCGCCCCATCGCTGCCGGCAGCTCCGGGCACTGCCTGCGGTTCACCCGGCTGCTGCGACCAGCCACTCCCGCGGCCATCCTCTCGCTGCGCCCTTCCCACAATGCAACTCCCCTCGCTTCTCCGGCCCGGGCTGGGCTCTGGCGTACCCCAAAATGCAGCACTTCCTCTTAAGTGCACAGCCCTCTTTTTCTCCGCCGGTGCCCCTGTAGCCGTCCCACCTCCATCCCTAAGGGTTCCCATCCTCCTGCCGCTGCCGCCGCCGCAGCGGGTTTCCAAGCACGCCTCCGCTCCGGGTGCCACCTCCTGTGCGCCGGGTCCACGCGCGCCCGCAACCCCTCCCTCGCCCTTTCCCGCTTGCTCAATCCTCGCCAGGGAGCGGCGAGAGGGAGGCAGCAAGGCGCGGCCACCAGCAGTGACACCATGTGACGGGCACGGCTCAGTGACACGCCGCTTCGGTTAAAGAGCGGGCGCGCGGGAGGGGAGGAGACGGCACGCGGGACTGGGAGGGATGGCCTGACTTTGCCTGTTAGACCATCGTGAGCCATGGTTGCGGAGGGGCGCCGCGCCCCCCAGTAGGAGAATGACTGCGATCCGAGCCCCTCAGCGCCCGTGCGTGTGGATGTAAGTGCGAGGCCAGCGAGCAGAGTGTGGGTGGGGGTTGGTGGGGGGGGAGATTCTGATGCAATCGGCCCCGAAAGGAGGAGGAGAGCCAGGCGGGCGCGGGCTGGGGCGGCCACACCACTCCGCCTGAAGGTCGCGGGAACCTCCGCCCATCACCTTGCTCGGAAATCCGCCGCGCCGAGCCTCCCCGCCCAGCCCGCGCTGACGGGGGGCCACGTTTTCTCGGCCACCGCAGCCAGACCTTGACACAAAGGACATCAAACGGCCGGGGGTAAAAATCCCAGAAGGGCGGACACCGTGACATCGCCTTTTGCCACCTCGCCCCGTATCTTCCGAGGTAAGGTGCTTTTCCGTTTCCCGGGCAGGGCTGGGGGATGTTTCAGACGGGAGAGGAGGCGACAACGTGGAAATCGTCCCTGCGGGCGTGGAAGGAGGGAGCGCGGCTGTGTCCGCTGCGTTCGGATTTTGCTCTTGAGAGGAAACGTCCAGGTCCCCCTGTGCTTCCCCCGGACGCACGCGGCGGCGCCACGAAGCGCAGGAATCCCCCGACCTCACCTCTGCGTGGGCCACGGGTTACTTTGGGGGTCTGTTTTCATGGTGGCAGAGTGTGGTACCAGATCTGGTTACGCGTCACGAGGGTCGGGGACCGCGCGGGGCCGGAGGAAGACCACTCAGCTACCGAACCGAGGGCGCCACGCGCGCCAAAGAGTGCTTGAATCCCCGACCTTCGGGGGGAATTTCCCGTGTCCGCAGGGCCCGGGGGAGAGCGAGTGATGTCCCCGGGGATGCTGCGCGCGGGCGGCTGGGGAGTCGAGCCACCGAGCACGAGTAAACAGGAGCACGTTTGTCACCCTCCCTCGCGCTCTGGCCCCCTGCACCGAGGAGGGAGGAGTAGGAGGATGTGGGGAGACATTACTAAAGGATGCTGGCAGTGACTCACTGTCCTTTCCCGCCCTGAAGAGGTTCTTTCCAAAACCAAGATAGTGTTTTCCTGAGAGCCGGGATCCACTGGAGCCGGTGAACAAAAGGCCACCGCTTGCGCGGGCTGTGCTGGCCTCCAGTCTCTCCTCCTCCTCCCCGGACCCCCGGCACCTCGCGTCGGTCCCTAAGCGGGGCCACCCCAGGCCTTTGAACTCGCCGGCTCGGGGCTTGGAGACACGCGCGCCTTCGCCCTCGTGCGCGCCCCCTCGCCCCCTAAACTATCTACGTCCGAGCGCTTCGGGCTCTTCTGCACCCACGGGGACCCCGCAGCTCTCCTGCCCAGCCGCCCGCCCGTGGGTTTGTGCTGAACTGTACGTAGTCGGAGCAGGCGCAAGTGCATATGGCGGCAAAAGGAATTTCGCGGTAAGCGCGTCACGCCGGCCCCGGTGCCTTTCACAGGCTGCCTGAGGCTGGGGAAGGTGGTGCTACAGCGAGAGTCCTTTGTCTCGCTCTGCGGCGGGGACCTGGGGTTTTTACAACCCTCTTTCTCCGGTGGAAGCCTCGCTGCCGCCGGAATCACGCACTTTCTCGGACGAATTCATGGCGATGTGTGTGTAGTAAGAGTGAAAAAGACGCCACCGCGAGAAAAGGTGTTCGTCTGCCCTTTGGAAGGGGACCTGACATCTCTGCAGTGGGTTTCTCTACATTTTTCCGTATAAGGGGGAGGGGGCAGTAAATGTATGGCTTGCAGAATGCAGGGCCCCGCGAGGCTGTAATTTGTCACCTTGATAGAAGAAACTGTGCAGCAACTCGTGCTTTTCCTGACGTCAGAAGGACAACGGAAATAAAACCTGAGCTCGGCGGCTGGCTGGCCTCATTGTCAGACATCTCGCGCCTGGGAGGTGCTCCAGAAATCTAGGCGAAACAGTCAAGTCTGGGGTGCTGACCAGGTGTGGGCCGCCCCCTCCCCATGCCTCTCCCTCTCCCCGGACATCTCACCTCCACCCTGGATTTAGGTTTCACCCTAGCCTCAAAATAGGGCTTTGCGCTTCAGAGTCACTTCAGGTCTCAGTATGTCGCCCTAAGCAACTGGAAACAGGCCGAGTCTGGTTTGAGGTCTTAATCGTGATGAGGTTTCTTCGCTTTCTTTCCTCCTCCTTCTTTCCTTTTTAAAAAACGTAGTCAATAAACATTTCCTACTCAGGACTTACTGTGTGACTGTCAGCAACGAACAGGATAAAGTTCCAGCTTCTATAAAGCTTCCCGTCTCATGGGGAAAACAGACTGCAGATATATAAATTTCAGGTGTTCATAGTGCAACGAAGGAATAAAACCGGATGGTGCGTTGGGGGAGGATGCTTGAAATGGAGTGGCCCCCTGGGAGGGCCTGGGTGAGGTGGTGACATTTGTCCTGAGAACTGAATGATAAGAAGGAAATCAGCTATTTGAATAATCGGGAAAACAGGCCCAGCAGAAGGAGCAGCGAATACACTGACTGTAGCAGCGTTCAGCAGATGAGGTTAATAGATTTTAAAGGTGTTGTGGGTTATTCAAGCGTATATGTATGTTACTTATGTATTTTTTAAATGTTGCTCTATGAATTAAGTCCAGGTGATGAAAGGACCATTTCATGGACCTTTCATGGAAAGATTGCAAAAAGTCTTCAGTGTCTGGCTAAGGAATTTACTTATTTACTTAGAGATAAGGTCTCTGTCATCCAGGCTGGAGTGCAGTGGTGCAATCATAGGTAACTGCAGCCTCCAACGCCTGGGCTCAAACGATCCTCTGGCTTCAGCCTCCCGAGTAGCTGGGACTACAGGCAAGTGTCACTACACCTTAATTTTTTTTTTTTTTTTTTAATTTTGTAGAGACAGGGTCTTGCAATGTTGCCTAGGCTGGTCTCAAACTCATGGGCTCAAGCGATGCTCCCACCTTGGCTTCCCAAAGTGCTGAGATTACAGGCATCTAAGGAATTTAGATTTTTATTTATAGGCCATGGAAACCCATGGAGGTTTTTAGAAGCGGGGTTCTTTAAAAACATGAACTGAGACTTAGAAATATATAAATCTCATGAAAGTGTCAAGATTGAATTAGTGGAGCACAGCTTTGTAGGGAGACCAACTGCAAAGCTGTTCCTCCTCACTGATTGGCTACTTCCCTCTTAACCACGTATTGTGCTTACATCTTCCTCCACCCCGCCCCTGCCGCTGAGTTAATCAGGGCTCCTCCATATCTGTTTCATGATTTTCATATCCCAACACACTACATGTATTGCCATGTGTGAGTCAGCTGACAGGGACCTGAACTGGGCAGTGGGAATGGACACAAGAGAACAGGTATAAGGGGCATTTGTAAAGGCCTGGTCACTGCTCAAAAGTGGCGAGAGTGGAAAGAGGAGGAACAGAGTGGGAAAAGACTCTAATGGTTCAAACTTAAGACAGGGAAACAGGAGAAAAGAAGCGAGAAGTCAGATTGTGAAATTCTTGGTGTCTACCTGAGGAATTAATTTCTTTAACTAAATTAATTAATGTATTCACTTATTTAGAGATAGCGCCTTGTTTGGTCACCTGGGCTGGAGTGCAGAGGTGCCATCATAGCTCACTGCAGCCCTGAATTCCTGGGTTCAGGTGATCCTCCCATCTCTGCCTCCCTGATAGCTGGGACTACAGAAAGGAAAGGACGGCCAACAACACCATAAAAAGGTGGAAGAGAGGTCTTGACCAAGGTCTTGATCCAACAAATATTGACTGAGCTGCTACTATGTGCTGGGCATCAGGAGAGCAGCGAGTTACATAGGTTTCTTGACCTCTAATGTCACCCAGAGGGAGAAAAAGCCAGGAGTAGCGATAGCCAGATGCCAGGTCCCCTAAGCTGATGCCATGTTTTCACCTCTTGGAGAAAGTGTTCGCTGGTCACCTCGTTGGCATTTTCATAAGGATTTCTTGACCTTTCACTTTTTGCACTATTATTACTCCAGATGATGGAAGGAGGAGGTTAAGGGCTTAGGCTGGGAGTCAAATGTATAGCAAGTTTCAACTTACTTCCTGGGGACCTTGTGCATCTGTAAGCCCCAGTTTTTGTTTGTTTTTTCATTTGTTAAATGAAAATGATGATGGTGGTGGTGGTGGTGGTAGTGGTACCCATTTTATTGAATTAACTTGAAGATTTAATTAAGATAATGGATGTGATGTGTTTGGCACAGTGTTACCATTCCATATATATTGAATTAAAAAGGACTTCTGGTTTCTCATCTATCAGAGGAGGTGAAGGAATTTGATCAGTAAAGTTCCCTTTACCTCTGAAATTCTATAACTATGTATTCTTTTAAAAATACTTTTCTGAAATTAATATCTTAATGGAAATTACCTGAATCTTTTTAGTCTCTGGGAGAATAGACATCTATAGACATCTATTAAAGATGGCGTGGAGGTGAGAGAATTATGTGTATAAAAAAGTAAGCACACCAAAAATGTTGTGATACTTTTGGTCCATGCACACAGGGGAACACGGTCGTGAAAAGGGAGGATTGGAGTGGTGCTGCCGTTTCTTTCTTTTTTTTTTTTTTGATTTGGAGTCTCACTCCGTCACCCAGTCTGGAGTGCAGTGGCACACTTACTTGGCCACTCCAAAGTCGTCGGCCTGCTGGGCTCTGGTGATCCTTCCGCCTCAACCTTCCAAGTAGCTGGAACTACAGGTGTGCGCTACCATGCCCGGCTGATTTTTGATTTTTTTGTAGAGATGAGGTCTCGCCACTTGCCTGGGTCTCAAACCCACGGGCTCAGGCAGTCCACTCCCTTGGCCTCCCAAAGTGCTGGGATTACAGGTTGAGCCATCAAGCCCGGACTGTGCCACCATTTCTTCCACCCTTGGTCTCTGTGCTTTTGCCGGGCTTGCAGCAGTGCAATGTGGGGATCAGGCATCCAGAGGATCACATCTGTGGTCCGCAGGAGCCACTATGAGAAGGGCCTGGGGAAGAATTTGCCATTTTTGGTGGAAACAAGCTGCAGTTGCTAGCGATTATGACATTGTTCTTTGGATCTGGGTTTGCTGCGCCTTTCTTTATAGTAAGACACCAACTGCTTAAGAAGTTAGGATGTTTTAGTTTATCCATTTAACAGACATGAAGAGCACTTTAAGATGTGCAGTCTCTTTGAAAAAATGGATCAAACTCTTGAACTCATGGCATATAGGATATGTTTGTAAATAAACTTACGACATAGCCAGGCTCGGTGGCTCAGCCTGTAATCCCGCGCCTTTGGGAGGCTGAGGTGAGTGGATTGCCTGAACCCGCGGGTTTGAGACCCGCCTGGGCAACTTGGCAAGACCTCATCTCTACAATAAATCAAAATTAGCCAGGCGTAGTAGCGCGCACCTGTAGTTCCAGCTATTTGGAAGGCTGAAGTGGAAGGATTGCCG